TGTGACTTCCTGCCGGTCAAAAGTAATCTCCTCACCCAAGCTACACCAGGTTCCTTTAGACAACATACAAAACAAGTTAACATATTACAAACACTGAGACCCCCACTCTGCCTCCACTGGGCCATTGGCCTCTTGTTGTTTTACATTTACAGATAAGCATGTGGAGAGTATCCTGCAAACCTACTTCTAAGTTATAACAATTATGCATTTTTATTAAAGGTACAAGCATCAGCATCAGCAACCCCCAACTGTAGCTTCCTGTCTCCTTTTATGACACCAGACCCCCAGTGTCCATAAATTCCTTTCTCTCTAAACAATTTCATACACTCTCAGGCCTACAGCTAAGCCAAACTAAAACACAGACCAATCCTTCCTTATTCCTGTGATCTAAACAAATTTAACACATCATATTATAATAATTATTTTCTTGTACTCACACAAGTAACAATACTGCACCAACTTAATGTCTGTGATTTAGAGTAAGAGGAACAATCAGTGGTATACTGAGTCCCATGTCATTCCCCAATTCGTTACTGGACCAAATGCACTTTAGGAATTGAAATGTCCTTCAAAATGTGTAATGAAATGTGTTTTCGGATTACGGTGAGAAGAACGGAGGAGAGAGGAGGCAGAAATGAGAGAAATAGGAAAATCCCTTAGGTTAAGTAATTCCTTTTGTTCTGTTCCCCTCTTTTGGTGTCTCTTGCTCACCTTTTTACATCTGCATTTTGGTGTGGTGTCTGGACTCCAGGATCTACAAACTTTGTTTCAATAAAATTTATTTCAGGCTGTTAAGAAAGACCAAACATAACAAAACAGAATCAAATAATTGAAATGAAGCTTCGTGATAAACAAACAAGAAAAATTGAGTCATAAATTTACATTTGTGGTTGTGGAACTTGAGAAGGACTTGATATGTCACATCAAGTTAAGCCACCGTCTTAAGCAAATATTTCTGTAGTAAATGAAAATTTCAGAGAAAAAAAATTAATAAAAAGTACACTAATGTTTTTTCTAAAATGATGAAAAATTATTCAATTAAATGGGATTTTTTTCTGAACACTAGTTACGGAGCAGAATAACCTCCAGGACAACCTGTGAAATGAGAAGAGAGGTTAGGTTCGTCACGAAGTGGGAGGGCGCAGTGGACGGATTGGACTCGGGCCTACGGCTCACACACGGCTAGCGTCTGCGTTCCTTTCATCTCCGACCGTCATTGGCTAATGAGCACGTCGGTCATTGTTTCCCAGCCTGAACTCGCGTCTGATTGGCTGACAGGACACCTACGACGGTAGGGCAAACGCTATTGGTTGAAAAACTAGGTTAGTGGTCCGACAGGCATGACGGTGAAGAGAAACTGGGTCACCGATTGAAAATCGTTTATGTCACACTTCTGTGTGTTGCTATTACATATTACCAGCGGCGTTCAATGGATGGATTAGTCCCCCTGGATCTTTTGTAAGTATAACACAAGAACGAGGATATGTTTGTTGACGCCGCGTCTGTGTGACTTTGCTGGGCTTCAGTCTGTGATGGATATCGTCGATGTTTTCCCAGCGCTGTGGTCATGTCAGTGTGGTTTTCTAGAGCAGGAGGAGGGACTTTAGCTTTGCTGGCCAAGTCTTGACAGTCAGTAGCTAGCAGTGAGCTGTATGCTAATGTTAGCAGACGGGGGAGAAATGCCGTTATGGTCAAAAAGTGCGGAAAACGCCTTTAGTTTGGCGGGGTTGGTTTAAGTGGTGCCAGGAATCGCCGGGACTTAGAGGAAGCTCGGGCGTGGGTAAGTGCCGGTCAGTGGCTTTCAGTTTATTAACTGAACGTGACCCAAGTGAGTAAAGCTCCAGTGCTAGCGCATTAGCTGTGTAAAACGGGCCTTGGTGGGTATACTCAGCAGCATCTATCCTGCTCCGGTAACTTCAAAGCCTCCATTGCTTGTCTCTTTAAAAGGCCTCAACGGTACTGTGCTATTCTTCTATTTATTTGGAGACCTGTGCTTGTCTTAAGTATCGCGACGGTGTATGCACTTGCTGTGGAAATGTGGCCACCGCTAGGTGTCTCTGCTGTGGTTGATCAAAGACTATTTGATTGGGTTGTGGTTATACTGTGCATGTAATTAGTGTATTATTGAAGCAGGAGGATATGGGGTGTGATAGATAATATAAAATCCGAAACAAAACCTAACCAAACCGCTCGAAAGCTGAGTGAGTGACGATTTTAGTTGTTTGTTGTTACACATCTTGGGCATCATAAAGGGTGGACGTGGCTTAAAAGTGAAACAAGTGCAGAAGGCCTAATACCCAGGGATGTCAGCTGGCAAGGCTAATGAGCACCAGAGGGCGATACCTGTGGTTGTAGAAAAGCCTTCCTGTCCTGTATAAGTCTATGGGAAAACAGCCCTCTGCCCTGGCATCAATAAACACTTTCCTTATGTGTTTATGGGCACAGCAACTAATTTCAGGTCACATTGAGTAAGACGTCAAATACATTTTCTAATGTACTGTCATTATTAGAGACAGACAGGAGGATTAGGTGTTAGCCAATGAGCATGCAGGTCTCCTTGCATGTCATACCTGGTTTCAGAATACCAAGGCGAGTCCTGCTGAGGACCAGCTGGTTTTGACTGGGAGGATATGAAATGGTCTTGAGCAGGATAGGAAACAGTTGGTTGTCACTGTTGATTCATCATCTGAGTCACTCTCACCACACTGAAGCCTTTTTTTAGTACACAGGGTTTATGGATCTATTTGGGGATACATCATATTAAACCTTTGGACGTTGTGTTAAAGGCAGTGTGCTGTTAATCTGTTTTTTTTTTTTTTTTTGTTGGATTACTGTCTCGTGTGTTAGTTTGACAGGTGCACCTTGTGTTTTTGTAGTTTCTCATGCCTGCCTTGAGTAGATTATCCATTAACTGTTTCACCACATGAAAGGCACTTGCTGTGAACTTCAGACTGTGTCTTTGTTTTTGTTTCTAGCCAGGTAGCAACCTATATCAGATCTTATCAGTACGGATCTATGTAGCCACAAAGACATTTTTACAGCAGACATTTGTTGTGATGACTCAGAAGGGTTGCAGTTAACCATCCTGTTGATCATGAAGGCCAGATGACAAACTTCTGGTTTCTATGAGGAAACTGTATGATATAAAACGTTATAGAGAAAAAGATCCTTGTCATGACTATGTGGATGCTAATTTAGATTAACTAGAGATCATTCTAAGTAATTATGTGAGAGAGACTGTCACACTAAAAGTTTCTTGTATTAAAATGTATGTGGAAAATTCTTCAATGCCTAATATTATGGTAGAAGTATAACTTTAGTGGGGGAAAAGCTTTTTAAAACCTTATTTTAGGGCAACCTTAGTAAACTTATTAAACATATTTTTTTTTTAATGAGATTTAAGTTGTGATCCTACACATGTAGCTGTTATTTCCTGTTAACCATTGTAATGAATATTCATTTGGATAATTCTTCAACATAAGAGCCCACAAGTGCTCAAGGAAAGTTCCAATTGGTGAGGCTTGCTTAAATGAGATTACGGGACACAGTTTATTTAGAGGTGAATGTATGAGAGCTACTGAAAATGTCCTTCTTAAGGGGTGAATAACATTGTCAGTAATGAATAATAATAAATAAAGGACATGGCATGGAGGTGTAGTTTGTAGCGCTGATGCCTCACAACAAAGTTTGGATCTTCTGATCTGCTGAGGTCTTTCTTTGTGGAGTTTACACATTCTTTATGTGCCTACATGGGCTTCTTCTGGGTACTCCCACTTCTTCCCAAAGTCCAAAGATATGCATGTTGAGTTTACTTGTGACTGCAGGTGAGAGATTGTGTGGTTGTCTATCTCTGTGTCGGCCCTGTGATGGTCTGGCAACCTGTCCAGTGTGTGTACCCCGCCTCTGATCTTATGATAGCTCCACCGCATTTCCCTAAGTAGGATAAGCAGTTAAGAAAATGGATGGATGTAACCAAGGCACCCTGCCAAGTTTAATAAAGATGCCTCCTGTCTAATTCCCAATAGGAGATGTTGGCCACAGTGACTGGCCATATGCTTTGGCCGGACAAACCTAACGAGCCATGCCATTGACTAAACAGAGAGGTTCCACATCCATCAGGAAACCCTTGCATGTAACTAAGAAGATACGATGCTTGACACTTACTTATTTCTCCCCTGTAAGCTTCTGTGGTTTAAAAAAGGTAAAAGGTAAAGAATTGTTGGGGTTGAAAGGAAAATTGATCAATAAATGTGTTTATCTAAATAAAAAGACACAAGTAGAGGTAACAAGCCAAAAGATTTTAACTCGTGTAAATACAATAAATAAATAAAAAAACAATTTTTTCCATTGTACTTCAAATAATGCATTTTAATGTAATTTTTTTCCTGATATTAAATAAATTAAAATCTAATTTCTCTAAAAACAAAATGTTCTCAGGTGTATGTTTAAGTATGTTTAAAAGGAAACTTAACCTTATCCTTGGCTCGACTAATTTTGGTCTCCAAATATGCAGGTTTTTCAGGCCTGTATATTATCAGGCCTGATTGGTCAATTTTCCTGAAATCCCAAGGATTCTTTCTGCACATATTGCTCATTATTCCCCATTGCATATAGATTGCATAAGGGATTCGAAGCATCCATCCATGCATCGATCTTCTTATGCTTGTCCAGATTAGAATCACAAGGGTGTTGGAAGTCTAACCCAGCTGTCCTATTCTATACACCATACATTTATTCTGCTGGCATACACAACACAAAGTGGGACATGTATTTAGTGTTTATAAAGGGAGCTACTTCAACAAGCTCCACCAACAATGCCAGCTTATAAATATGCAAAACAATAAGCAAGAAAACAGTTTCCACTACATGTGGAAACAAGAAACGTGTTTACCACCTTAAACAGGCCGTTGAGTACAACTGTGAAATTGAGGTATACAAGAAGGGGTTGCTAGGTGGATGGAAATTATTTACTGCTTTTGTACTCAAAATTGACTTGCAGTCACAAGTGAAAAAATAAAGTACACCCTCTTTTCAATTCTCAAGTTAGGGAGATAATAAACAATCATCTGGTCCTCATCAACTTCTAAAAATTTTTAAATACAGTTTGTGTTGAGGAACAACTCACAACATATTGCACTGTCATTTATTTAACAAAAACTAAAGTAAAAACTGAGTATACCCCATGGTTCAGTAGCTTGTTGGGACAGATGGCCTCACATTGGGCTCAAGAATACTTTGCTTACAAAGGAGCTCGTGGTTGCCTTAATTACTGCAAGGTGCCCACATCATCACCCCTTCAGGTATGAGGTGTTTGTGCCGATATGCTGTGGTTTGGTTTTGACAAACGTGGTGCTGTGGATTTTGCCCAGACATTTTCAATGTCCAATGAACGTTGTTCCAGAAGTCATGTGGTTTGCTCAGATGTAATTTTGCTAATCTAAGTCATTTGCCATGTTCTTCTTAGAGAGATTAGGTGTTTGAAAACCCTTTAAAATAAGCTGTATTTGTTCAGTCTTTCTAATTTTACTGTTATGAATTTTAACATTTAACTCTTAACTGAGAAGTTTCTCTGACCTTGGGGTGAATTTGCTTGGACGACCACTTTTGTGAAGATTTTATGAATGTTTTCCTCTTGTGAATAACTTTGTCAAATAAAATGATGGACACTGTATTGTTTAGTAGGGCTGCCACAAACGATTATTTTGATAGTCGACTAGTCACCGATTATTTTTGCGATTAGTCGACTAATCAGATCATGCATCCATTGGACGTAAAACGTACAGCTTATTGCACCAGCATGCGTCTGCTCTTATATAACTATCATTAGCTTACAGCTTGAAGTGTTTAATGTATGTGATAACTAAAATTAAAGACAAGATGACAGTTTATTAAACTTTTAATGAATTTTTCAGATTGTCTCGGTGGAGTTTAATAAACTCGGCCATCTCTTCTTTCTATGTGAAATATAACAGGACACTGGAGTAAATTCTCTACCATTTCACACTTCTGTTTAATCAGTTCTCTGTTTGACGTTTATTCAGCTGTGTAAAAACTATAACTTTAATCTCAGCCAAACCGATTTACTGAAAAAAAGCCAAACAATAACATTTTTAAATTATCTGAGTGGCTTTTATATCATGTTTAACCTGAGTAGCGAAAGACTGCGGCGGGTTTGAAAATGATGTCCCGGGAGTTTGCCGTTCTCACCGGCTCTAGTGAGCCTTGAACCCTCTAGTTATCGAGCTGGTGGGTAACAGACGTCTCCGAAAACGTCGGAGCACTTTTGCAAATGTGTGATGTCTTGATAAACCGAGCAGATATTTGAAGCTACACAGCTACATTCTCGCCTGAAAATATGTTAAAAGTTTATTTTGTGACCCAGAAATAGTAATAAGAGTAATATTAAAACTAACTAGCTGCCGCCATTGTTGAAAACTGGAATTGGCTGGGCCACGCTATGAATTCTGGAATAGTTTGGGCCACGAAGGATACACCCGACCCATCCTTCAAATCTGGGGAAATGAAGGATGCATTTTTCAGCCACGTTTGGGGAAGTCTTCAAATTTGGACAGGCTTCGCCACGTCGCTGTAACGTAATTGGCCTACAAATGTGGCCTCCGAAGGATGCGGCCGCTAAATTTGGACACAGCTATGAAACCAGACACTGCTGCTTCTTCTTTGGGGTTTAACGGCAGCTGGCATCCCTGGACATGCAGTGCTGCCATCTGCTGTTTCAGTCTGTTATTACACTCTTAAATCCTACTACTTATTCCTGCGTCTTTCAGGATCTTACAAAGCTTCAAACGACACGTCCACGATTTTAATAGTCGACGTAATCGTGACTAGTCGACTAATCGTGGCAGCCCTATTGTTTAGTAATGGCCTTTCTATTTATTACTTTGTATTGTAATAAATAAATATAATGTCATGGCCATCTGTAATAATTACCTGCCTTCTGTCAAAGTAGATTTCAGATATCATGGCAACAAGAAAAGCAAAGATTTAAAACTGGTGTCTGTGGCTGCTGGTGCTGTCATATCATTGTGATGGGTCTTGATGGATGGGGTCTATTATTACTATAAGGAAAGAGGATCGGTGCTTATTGTGTCACTCAAAAGTGAAAGTTGGTTTCGCTCTTGTCGCTGCACATGTTTTGTTTGTCGCCACCAGCACTGGCTTGAGTGATTGCATAATCTCTTTGCCATTTGAGATGTCTCTCAGTTAAGGTGCAGTTATTGACACTCGCTCTATGTAACAACAGACTGGGCACTATGTGACGTTTTCCCTGTTGAACACTCTCCAGCTGTAGAGTATTAATTCATTACTTTTTCCATCATAAGCTTATGCCTTTGTATTTGAATAACAGCAGTAATGACTGCTATGTTACTCAGCACAAGAACAGAATATATACATTTCTGCATTTTCTAGCCACTCGTCTCAGAACACAAAAAGCAGTGTGTGCACAGCATTGTCATGAGTGCCGCCATCAACCGAGGTTGGACTTGTTGGCATGCCGGATGCCTGCATGAGTGTCCCAGCTGTATCAGCAGCCATGCATATCCATGAGAGCACAATCTGTGATCTGATTGTTCGCAATGGAAATGCTCCAACCTGTACTCGGGCCATTTTTGTGGCAGCACCTTGACCTGTGCTTTTTTTTTTCCAGCTGGACAGGGCGCAATCTCATGCTGCCAGAGAAGCACAGGTCTTTCTAGATAGCAAGCATATCCAGACACTTACTTGGACCTGTTGCCCTGAATCTGAGATTATAATTTCCACATACAGCGCTGCTAGGGTCTTCTTGGGTCAGCACTGTTGAGCCCTGAGACTTGACAACCAGACTTTACTTCCTTGTCAGTGCTTAAATTTAAATTGGTTGTTTATCATTTGTTTAGAAATGTAGCTGTGATTGTTATCGTTTGGCAAGACCTGCCCAGTGATGATGAGAAACTCAAACTCGGCACACAGTTAGTTCTTGGCTGTGAAAAGCTGAATGTGAGCACACTGCACTCAATCTATGCAGTAAACCCTTTCACATCCTTGCAGACAGGCTGCTACACCCTGACTGCTGCAACAATACAAACCCCAACTATGCACGTAAGATTTGGTGACCTCACGTAGAGAAATTCCCAGAATAGCTCCACCCACGAATAGAATTAAAAGAAAACACCTGTGTGAGTGTGCAGGGACTTAAAGTCTGACATAGTTGTACCTGTATATCAGGTTGTTTTACAGGTCAACTTATTGTAGTCTCTTGCATATTTCAGAATTGCCTGTATTGTGATGTTTGTCCTAAGGATTGCATTGTACTGTGAGTTTTATTTTTTATTTTTTAATTAAATTGGTCATTCAAAAGGGGCACATTTAAAGCTTTATGAGTTTAAAAGTCACCAGTTAAGAGTTAATGCTGAGTGAAATCACATTACAAGTACCCACAGAATTATGTCATGCTTGCAGATTCCATCTGTGGAGCTCTGAAAGCTGTAATAATTAAAAAAA